TTTCTCCAAACTGACATTCTACAGAAATGTCTTCCAAAAAGCGTTAAGTTTTCACAGAGTGGGGACTATGATTTCCATGCTCAAGTAGTGTAGGAAATGGGAGATTGTTAGTTTTGTTTACTGTAACACGAATTCTCAGAGTCCTCAGACCCTCTAATGTGGGTGATCTCCAGAAGGAGAAAGGGAGTGTGTAGTATTTTCCAAGCTTTTTGAGCAAACAATCCTTTTCTCACAGAACCCATCAGAAACAGTTTGGAGTATGCTGGTAAATATGTTTTGGGGATTGAAGTCAGAAAGGCTGATCTTTTCATATGGTTCCTCCTATTCTCTGCTAAAGCCAGCAACAGAGTAAGTTGACTCTAGCATCAAGACCACTAGTCATATTAAGAAAGGGCAGGTTGGTCAAGAATGGAATAGGAAGAACTAGCTGCCTCACTTTTCACTTTCGTGCCTACATTTTCTTCACTCCCTAAGTTATACAAGATGTACATTTCCTCTCTTAAGCAACTTAATTGGATGCTACTTCCCTCCTTTTGTGACAGAGCAACTAACTCATCACTACCTGAGGAGACAAAGTGGGTGCCACAGAAGCAAGACTAGGCCAGTGGGATTTGCCTAATAATAAGATGATAGCACAGAGGGTAACGTATTCAGAGAGGAAGGCAGCCTTAAGAAATGCAGAAATAGCCAAGCAAGATTTTTCCAAGCACTGGTTAAATCACCAGCAAAACAAAGCATTTATGTGAGTACCTCAGGCCTGGGTACCTCTTTGCTTGAAATCCGGCAAGATCTTGGAAAAACGTTTGCCCTCAGAATCTATCTCATTGCTTTAATTAGTTGTCTCCTTTGGGCCTGGGCACAGTTCTGGCACTGATCTGGAACAGACTCCCTTTCTAAAACTGAGCGTGACCACATCAAAAGTTTATAAAACAATCGCCATGGTAATTAAACTTGCATTCAACACCATATGGTAACAGAAGATGGCAAAGGATAAGCTTCAGATCTTAGATCTTTCCAAGTAGGGCATGTTAGATAAGGATAGGATTAGTTGCAAGCTGGATCTGAGCTCAGGCTTGGCATGAAGGAAACTGTCTCCCATGTGGTTTGGAAGAGTTAGGGGCTCCCTGAGCTCTATTGTGAACTGTACGGGTTTCATCCAAGGAATGGTATAATGTGGGCATAAAACCATTCTTCAGACAACTGAAGATGGTCCCCTTCTGTAGCCAGAAACACTAGCCGTCCTGCATTGTCCATTTCTTTTAGCCCCAGGCGGTCCTGTGTGTACAGGGAGGTCTCCTGTAAGGGAATGGTTTCCTTGGCTTGGCCACTTCTGTAAAATCCAAACCACTCCGAATCTACAGGGTCCACAATGGAATCATTGAGGAATTTCACCATCACAAACTTCTTCAGGGCCATCAGGTTTTTCTTGTAGGACTCATTGATACCCCGCTCCTGATTTATATCTCCCAAGAAGATGCTGTGGTTGCGATATACATCCTCTTTTATGGGGTCATGCCAGTATTCGACTTGCACGAGGCGTTCCTGAACAACTTTGGAGTACGCGCCAGCATTCAGTGTTTTTCTGATAAAGTCACAGATGTGAGAGCTCTCTCCTGGGCATCGAGGGAGTCCAAAAACACCTTGATGTTGTCCCCCAACTGAGATCAGATTGATCATGGGAGGTGAAGGGCATCTCTGAGCCACTGCCCTCAGAAATTGGCCTCCCTGGGAGAATCCCATAGCATTGTAGCCTTGCTGCAATTTAGGATCCTTAGCAAGTGTCTGACACACTGTTGTTACTTGGGAATTGACATTCAAGAAGAAGCTGTTTTCCACGTCCTCCATCAAGGTCTTCCCAATCTCTAAAGATAAGACGTAAATTCCAGGTATTTTCTTCTCAACCATTTTTTTAATAGCACCCATGCTTAAGGGATTGCAACAGCTGTCTCCCATCCCATGCCAGATCACCAACGGCAGCGGCGCCAGCGGGTCCAGATGATGCAACGCCCGGGCAGCGCAGGTCCATGGCAGGAGGGCGACAGCCAAGACGGGTCTTGACTCTTTATCCAATTTGCCAGTTTGTTTCTTTTAATTGGACCATTTGGTCCACTTACATTTAAGGTTAATATTGTTATGTGTGGGCTTGATCCTGTCATTATTATATTAGCTGGTTATTTTGCTTGCTAGTTGATGCAGTTTCTTCCTAGCATCGATGGACTTTACATTCTGACATGTTTTTGCAATGACTAGTACCTGTTGTTCCTTTCCATATTTAGTGCTTCCTTCAGGGTCTCTTGTAGGGCAGGCCTGGTGGTGACAAAATCACTAAGCATTTGCTTGTCTCTAAAGGATTTTATTTCTCCTTCACTTATGAAACTTAGTTTGGCTGGATATGAAATTCTGGGTTGAAAATTCTTTTCTTTAAGAATGCTGAATATTGGGACCCACTCTCTTCTGGCTTGGAGAGTTTCTGCAAGAGATCACCTGTTAGTCTGATGGGCTTCCCTTTGTGTGTAACCCGACCTTTCTCTCTGGCTGCCCTTAACATTTTTTCCTTCATTTCAACTTTGGTGAATCTGACAATTATGTGTCTTGGAGTTGCTCTTCTCGAGGAGTATCTTTGTGGCGTTCTCTGTATTTCCTGAATTTGAATGTTGGCCTGCCCTACTAGGTTGGGGAAGTTCTCCTGGATGATATCCTGAAGAGTGTTTTCCAACTTACTTCCATTTTCCCCATCACTTTCAGGCACACCAATCAGACCTAGATTTGGTCTTTTCACATAATCCCATACTTCTTGGAGGCTTTGTTCATTTCTTTTTACTCTTTTTTTCTCTACACTTCTCATCTCATTTCATTCATTTGATCTTCAATTGCCAATACTCTTTCTTCCAGTTGATCGAGTCATTACTGATGCTTGTCCATTTGTCACGTAGTTCTTGTGTTATGGTTTTCATCTCTATCAATTCTTTTAAGGTCTTTTCTGCATTGATTATTCTCGTTACCCATTCTTCCATTCTTTTTTCAAGGTTTTTAGTTTCTTTGTGCTGGTTACATAGTTCCTCTTTTAACTCTGAGAAGTTTGATCAACTGAAGACTTCTTCTC